CACATGGGTCGGAGGATCGCGCCGCATCGCCGATGCATCGGCGGCACGGCGGAGGAGGAGGAGGAGGAGGAGGAGGAGGAGGAGGAGGAGGAGGAGGAGGGGGAGGGGGAGAGGAGGAGGAGGAGAGAGGAGGAGGAGGAGGCGGAGCGCGGAGCCGATTTGATCACGTCAATGTCGCCGAGGCATCGCCGATGCATCGGCGATGCATCGGCGGGCGCATCGCCGATGCCTCGGTGATGCTCGCCGAGGCCTCGGCGATGCGGCGCGATGCCCCGACACCGTCTGCCCGGACCCCGTCCAGGAGGCCTCCATTCCCCACGCAAGAGGAGGAGGACGAGGAGGAGCAGGCGGAGGTGCAGGAGGACGAGGAGGAGGACGAGGAGGAGGAGGCCTCCATTCCCCACGCATCGGGGGCGGAAAAGAGGGGGGTGATGACTAGGGGGGGGGGATATCATGGCGGGGGTCATGATATCTCCCCAGATTTCATGGCGCCTCTTCTCATTTCATTACGTCCCTGGCCCCCCCGCTGGGCCGCGCACATGCCGATGGTCATGATTTGCACCCCCCCCTCTTGGACACCCCCCTCTTGGCCGCTCCCGAACGCAGGAGGAGGAGGACGAGGAGGAGCAGGCGGAGAAGAGCCTGAATGGTGGAGCGTGCAACGTGTCAGAGGTGCAACGGCGCGCCCGCCCGCAGCACGCCCCTCCTTCACAAGCCCGTACAAGCTTCTCCCATGCTCGGGCCGCACCCCAAAAGACCGACGCCCCCCAGGCCTGCCCCGCAGGCACCACACCGCCATCGCCGTCGTGCGAGCGGACGCGCCCGCGGGCAGCTCACCAACGAATTCGTATCGTGCAGGCGGGCTCTGTGCCCAGCTCGGGGCGCCCGCCCACTCATAAGCCTCTGCCCCTCCGTTCCGCGGGGGTGGACGCCGCTGGTGGCTTCGGTGCGCCACGATCGTCCTACCAACACCCTCATTCATTAATGCTCCTTGCTCCCGATTGCGACTGCTAGTCATGTCCGAGCGCGGATGGCCCGCCAGTGGAGCCCTCGGCTGTGACCTGGCGTCCATTCGAGATTGTTTCTCCCGCGCCCTGTCCCCTTCTCTTCGCGTTTCTGCTTCTCTCTCGCTCTCTCTCTCTCTCTGTCTCCTTTTGCTTCTTCCCTCAGGTCGGCACTGCACTGTTTCACTGGCTGGGCCGAGTGGGGTCGCGCACGTCTCTCGGCCTCTCCTCCCTCCTGCTGCGCCTCCTTCTGTGGCCAGTGCTTTATGTATTTCTGGCAGGGGCCAGAGTTCGAAGCAGTCGGCGTGTGGAGCAGTCGAAATCTTAACGGCTACGCGGCCCTCTCTCCCTCCTCGGCATCCTCTTCCCCCTCTCCCTTCCGCCCGTTTCAATTCCACATGTTCTTCCGATCCGCTTGACGGCTGGCAGCCACGCCAGTGGACCATCCAGCTTTCCTCACGCAGCGTCGTTCGGGCGCGCTGTCCTTCGTGATCTGACGCATACGGACGACCAGGGGATTCATCAACCGAGCTTGGCTGTGACGCGTTGCTGGAGAGGAAAGAAAATAAAACGTAACAAAAACCTTGATCGAATTGCGAGAGAGTCGCGGGCGAGAGCACCGTTCCTGAGTTGTGGGACTTCTGTTGGCCAGGGCGTTTGGGGAGTAAGTTGTGAGGAAGTATTAAGAAAGAGCCGTTGTCGTCGTAGCTGGGCCGTCACAAACTTCAATGATTTGCAGGCATGTCTAGTGCGAGAACGCAGTTCCTGAGTGTGGAGGCCCCTCTGGCCAGGGCGTCTCTGGACATCTGTGGGGAAGTATCGAGCGGGAACTGTTGTCGTCGCAGTTGGATTTTCACCAAGTTGATTGAATTGCGAGGGAGTCTCGGCAAAGAGCGCCGTCCCCGAGTTCTGAAGCCCCTCTGGCCATGGCGCCTCGGAGTAAGTTGTGGGGGCGTATCGAGTGGGAGCCGTTGTCGTCGCAGCTGGGCCTGCACCAACTTGACTGAGCTGCGAGAGATTCTCGGGCGAGAGCGCCATCCCTGAGTTCGGGGGCCTCTCTGGCCAAGGCGTCTCGATGTAAGCTGTGAGTCGCTCTCGAGCGGGAGCCGCTGTCGTCGTAGCCTGGGCTTCAAAGTGCGATTTGAAACCCAGCCCGCGAGGGAGCGGTAGCCTCGCTTGCAAAGAACTTGTAGCCGGCGTCGAGGCGAAAACGCCCAGAACCGCTCTCATCTAGAAGCGCGTTTTCGACAATAATGTCACCGGCACCACCTTTACCACCTCCTCCTCCTCCTCCTGCTCCTCCTCCTCCTCCTCCTCCCTTCCTCCTCCTCCTCCTCCTCCTCCTCCTCCTCCTCCTCCTCCTCCTCCTCCAATTAGGCACGATTCGCCCACAAACCCCCGCCACACATGGCGATGAGGACGACCAGCGTCACCAGCAGCAGCAGCGCACAAGTAGACGAGCAGCAGTCATTTGTCACTCAAGAGACATGCGCCATCTTGCGTGGGAGAGCTCACAAGGTCCCCACGATCGAAGAATACAAACGCCATACACATGAACTTGTGGCACCCCGCCACAAGTTTATGTTTATGCAGTTTGTTGTTTGTCTTATGTTGTTCTTCTGTACGAGTTCTCTCCTCACGGGCCTCCCTTGGGCCGCATGTGGGGGGCCCTCTCGATGGTTCTTGTGTGTCCCGCCTGTGGATCTCTGGGCCGTCTCAGGACCGTCTCCAGGCCCTATTAGGGGGGCCGCTTAGGGGGGGGTTGTGCTGGCCTGTGGGGCCCCTCGGGCCGTATTGGATTTTCAGGAGCCCGAAAAGTCGGCGGCGAGCGAGGGGGGAAGCGAGGAGGAGAAGGCCTTTTCATAAGGCTCAGAAGTCCCCCGGCCTCCTGAGAAGTTTCCTCAGCTTTCCCCGAAGACACAAAAACCTCTCGGAAGGCGCGAGGGCTTCTGAGAAGTCCCGCCGCCTTCTGAGAAGGCTTTCTCCTTCTCATTTTCCCCCCCTCGCTCGCCGACGAAAAACTGAAGATCGCACAAATCAGTCAAACACGTATTAGAAATAGTTGGTTTCAGCATCTTGAGGGCACTCTTAGGAGCTCTCGTGGGCCCCTCTGGAGGCGCCTGGGGGGGGGGGAGTCTTGGGCCGTCTTCAGGTCATCAGACTTCTTTTGGCGTGTGAAAGCCATTCTTGGAGCAAGATTACAAAGTAGATTGGGCATCTCGGCGGCCACGAAATGTGGATTTGGAGGCTCCAGGGGCCCTGGAGGTGCGTTGGCGAGCTCGTGCGGAACATCCCCCCTGGGCCCCTCCCCTCCTCTAACGGGATTGTGGACCCCAGGGGGAGGGGGAAAGCCAATCAGCTCACACGCCTGCTCACCCCCAGCAAGTGGGGTTCGGCGGATATCGTCCACGTGCACCGTACTCGTTACGTCATGTAAGAAGGACCGAAGCGCACACATTATGCAGCGTGAAGGCGCAGCTTGCTAGGTATCTGAACTAGGCATGCGCGGAAATACTGATGAGACTGACCATAACTACATGTGTGTGTGTGTGCGCTCTGGTATGTTACAGACGTTTATAGCTTGTCTGCGCGCGTGTGTAGACGCTAAAGACATGTAGCTATCAAGACGGATAACAAATAAGTTTGCAATTTGGTCGACAAGAGTTGGTCGGCCACAAAATGTGCTGATTAAGGTACGGCACGAATTTGTTTAAGATCTGTCCTACCTTATAAAGACACGCTTGCTTGTTTAGCACGTTGTTTCAGTTGTTATCCAAGTATGTTTGACCCCAGGCCGACGAGCTCCATATCAACCAAGTTATGACATCTTTCAGTGGCTTCTGCCGCACCCCCGAGCACTTGCGAGCCGTGGGTGCTTCTCTCATGCGGGGCGGTATCTCCCAAAACCGCACTCTCTTGGGGCCTCTAGGGGTCGTCTGTGGGGTCGACTCGGGGCTTCGTGGGGCTTTTCAGGAAGCACGTTCGGGGTTGCGGGTGCCATCTTGTAGGGGAGGACGTTCGGGGTTCGTTGAGATTCCCCGCTGCGCCTCCGCCAAGGACCCTCACGGCTCTCTCTTGGGCAGTCTCCCGGGCCTCTTGTGCCATCTTGGGAATAAATCAGGCCGTCTGGAGAAATTTGCACCACGTGCAGTGCTAACATCCCTCCCGCTTCCTGGCAGAGCCAAACCACGAAGTCGCAGAATTCTTCCAAGCTCATGATCAGGAGGGAGGGAAAAGACACGCAGACACACAGAATCGTCGATCCCCAGGAAATATGAGAAGTTGGGGGAAGACGAAAATCCAGAACATCTGCAAACAGATGATGAATCCAGGGACTTGTGGTGGGTCTACTTATGTGTATGCCCTGGGGCCCTACGGGACTCGGGGGACATGGGTGTCCCGATAATCGGCTGGCCCGGTGGCCCTGCTCCCTCTCCACATGCCGTTTCCTTTTGCCCACCTCTGGCCAGGCACCCTGGTGGAGGTGGAAGAATATCAGGAGAAGCAGGAGGAGGAGGAAGAGGAGGAGGAGGAGAAGGAGGAGGAGGAGGAGAAGCAAGAGGAAGAGGAGGAAGAGGAGGAGGAGTAGGAGGAGAAGCAGAAGCAGAATTATCAGGAGAAGCCCCTTGGCCCACCTTTGCCCACCTCCACCTTTGCACACCCTGTTCTCCAGAATTCTCAGGGTGCTGTTTATACCGCGGGGTCACGTCCGTTGCACATTTGCGTTCCGGACGCGCTGAGCTCTTAGGGGCCTCTTGGGGGCACCTTCAGGGTTATTGCGGGCGTTGCGATCCGATATGGAAAGTTGGATATCCTCTCGCTTGGCGGGTGCATGTCCAGAACACGTAGAACGTTGGCAGTGGGGGCGTCCTGAGGGTATTTGGTGAGCGTTTGGGAGACCTCTGGGGAGCATCTTGGGGCCTCTTGGGAGCGTCTTGGGGGCCTCTGGGGGCCTCTCTGGGCCGTCCTGAGGCGCTCTTGGGCCCGACGGGTCTGGACCACCCCACGCTTCTTCCATACACACACACACACATCCGTAGCCATTTTGGCTCAAGCCGGCCTTGAGTAAGACCGAAATGGTTCAAACTAGCAATTTCCACATCAGTTACTCCGGCATGGCGGCTGCCCTCTGGATGCTCTGGTGTCCATGTTTGCGCTCTCGTGTGCAATGTGTTTCTTCTGGTGCTACAGTTCTTGTTCTCTCATTGTCGAGGGCGAGGTTTCGCGTCATATGCACGTGCTATCCGCTGGGCTGCTGCGAGATGTTCGCACCCGCCTCCATGGACACGGAGATTGGTTTTCTTCTGCAACGCTGTACGGCACGCTGGCTTCCTGGAGGCCGCTCCTGCGCGGTGTCCGCGCCGTGCCGTGAGGCCACGGGCCCCTGCTGCCGAGGCCTCGCCGCCTCCGGAAGCACCAGGCCATCAGATGCGTCCTGGCGCGCGCTCTGGGCTTCACCACCGACGTGCCCAATTACCTTCCATGCTGTCTGATATGAGGCAATCGGTGATCGAAGACATGCGGCGCTTGCTTGGGGAACGGTTGGGGATTGAACGGCAGGCCATTTCAGTGCAAGTGTCGGCTATTGCTGTGCAGGTGGAGGCACAGCAGTCCCTTCTTCTCGCCATGCAGCAGCAGCTCGAGCGGCAGCACAACCTCATCGACTCGTCCACCGTCCATGGCACGCCGCCTGCTGCATCACCTGCATCTCCCGAAACGGCGTTGGAGTCAGCCGTCGCGCCGCACACGCTGTCGGAGGAGATGGAGGACGTCCCGAAGGAGGTGCTGGATAAGACTGATGTGCATGCGCCGCTTAACCCTGATGCTGCATCGTTCGTTCCTGCCGTTGTTACGAAGGCACCCGTCTCGATGTGCTCAGATCATGATGTTGGATCTTTGGTTGGAGTGCAAAACCAAACTATTTCTTTCTTGCTTGGGGAGCTGTACACTCGGCATGCGAGGTACGTTGCGCTTGCCAGCTGTATGCAGGAGGCGGACACAAAGCTCGGCGACTTCGTCTCGTGGGCGTTCCGTGCTCTGTCTGAAGAGTACTCTCCCGCAGTGCCGCCAGTTGTTGCCAAGCCAAAAACCATCAGCATCGCCGACGCTCTCGGCCTCGAAGGTGCAGTCAAGAGTCTTGAGGAGAAGGTCGGGTTGCTGCGCGGCTCTCTCGGCACTGCTGCCCAGGCGCCCCTCGACAAAAGGTTAGGCCCTCTGAGGCAAGAGCTGGGAGTGAAGGCTACTAGTCATGTTGTTCTGTGCCCTCCGTCCGCTCCCTCTCCTCGCTCCTCTCGTGCTGCCGCGCCTGTTTCGTCTCTCTCGTCCCCTCGTGCTCCTGCTCCGTCTCTGCCGGATGGTAATTCGAATGCCACTCGTCACGCCAACGTACGCAATTTGCGCGCAACACTTCCGACTACGAGGATTTCTGGGGAGTGCCCCGATTCAAAGCGTATGATAGACTCAAAGGGCAATTCGAAGCCGTCCCGTGCGCGGACACGGCAACCAGATGCACACGGCATCGTCTGGATGATTGCAGAGGAAATCGATGAGCTGAAGGCCTCATCGAGCTGAGCCGTGTGAACCGTCCGCTGGAGTACGAGCGACACACACACGCACGCACGCACGCACGCACGCACGCACGCACGCACGCACGCACGCACACACACACACACACACACACACACACACACACACACACACACACACACACACTCACACACCCACACACTCAC